TCTAGCACAAATTTATATATTGCTAATAAAATTTCATTCAAGCTTTATTTTGACGTCATGATGCTTTATTTTGAATCAGCAAATTTAAGCTGAGATGTAGAAGCAATCAAACTAAGGACTTTTGCTGCATCAAATGAACCTTATCCAAGGTCAAGATGTTTATGCTACTGAAAGGAAAACTTGTCATTTTTGCAATACATAGATTACATGGTAGTAACTGAGGACACAGGGGCCGAAATGCACAATTGCATTCTTTCCATGACTCTTATAATATACTGTACCCTGAGGATTTTGTGCAAGTACTCTGTAGGGGATGAAAAGCTAGAGGTCATCTGAGCATAAAATGTTCAAAGATGGTACAAGAAATCAAATATTCCCTTAGAGAGTTTTTTTTAATTAATCAAATGAAATATGTTTGTAATATCTCCAGTGCTGATCACTTTCGATGTTTTATTCAAAAAGCCACACAATGTCTCTAGGTTACAGTAAAGGCACAATAACTCATGCAGAGGCTTAGAAGCATGGAATGGTAGAACACAAATATAATATAGTATTTTTGTCCCTCATGGAAAACTGTATCCACAATATAATATTTGTTCATTAATTCTGCTGTGGTGGTACATGATTTAAGCAGAAAAGTTTCTGTTCCCCAGAAAACAAGGCAAGCAGAGAAAAAACAACCCAGCGCAGGAACACCATTGTCTGCAAAGAAGAGATTTTGTGAGATGAGTCTCTGTGGATGGATCTATACAACAGGTAATGAGGCCCGGTCACAGCAATGGCATGAGACCACCTGTACTATTTAATCACTGGTGCAGACTCTGTCATGGGGTTGGCACCAGCCAGTGGGTATTCTCATATTCTGCCCTGTGGGCAGTTTGGCTGCAGTTTCCCTGTTTTTGTTTAGCAGAGACACAAGCCATACTGCATGAGGTGGTCTTGGGGCCAGAGGTGGCTCCTGGCTCACTTTGCATACAGGTACAGGTACAGGGGTAGCTGCATGTGGCTCCGAGGTCAGGCAGCACTTTTGCCCATGTGATGTAGCATCCCTTTGATGAAGGCTCTTCCATGCTCCTATACAATTCACGTATCCTTTTCGGTGTGCATGATGTAAAGCTTCACTATTTACCATTCTTGGCTGGTGAAAATTTCCCTCTGATCTGCTTGTTCCTGATGATTCCCTTTCAGATTGATAACAGGAATTAGAAATACAGCAATCTGGCACCTTCACTAATTTGTGCAGAGTCCCCTCTTCAACAAGAGTTCTTGCAGTTGTGAACCACATGTCACCAGAGACTGCACACGTATTTAAAATCAGATTATATAAGTTTTGATTTTCGATTTCACTCCCCTGTGCTGCTGTTAAATACCCTAGAAAGCATCTGCAGCCATGCCAACAAAGACTTCTCTAGCCATCAAAGCTCTCTCAGGTTTGGATTCCATTTGCAAATGCACAAATGTAGCTGAAATAATTGCTGGTACTGTCATACCCACTTTGGCAATAGCAATAAATGGTTTATAGGCAGTTTCAAAGGACTGTTACTATCCATAAATAAAGCCATTTGTGCAACAGTTTTGGTCATACTGTTCTAAGGCTGTCTTGCCAAAATCCTTTTGGGAGATAGCTGTGGCCAGCTTAAGTGTTTTACTTGCTGCCCAAGAAATTCTCCTTCTGTGATTTTAATATACAGTGGGGGAGTGTTAGAGTGTTACTGAGTAGCCTAAGAGGAAGGCTACTACATTTTCAACCAGGTTAGCCTTTTAGCTACCCCCATGAGCTCCTGCCTGGACTAGGAACTTCCCTTTACAGGCCAGTTTCTAACTGCTAATGTTTAGTTTCTCCAGCAGTCTCTTTCTGATGGTTTTGGCCCAGATTCCAGTCATGTCCTTACTAGTACTTAGTCAGCCCTGCAAAGTCGCTATCAGCTGACTATCTGCCTTAAATCATCCTTGTATGCTAACAATTTCCCTTCCTTTCTGAATCCTCTTCTTATACATTTGCTTCTTTTCTTTATTTTCACACAGAATTCAGTGCACCTGAGGAGAGATTGTTCCTCTTCTGCCTGTGCTAATGGAAGGGCATTTACAATCCCAAATCCCATACAGTGAAAGAAAAATGAAGCAAATACATGTATCTCCTCTGCCTTCTCTTTTGGAAGAAGTTAATAGTAAGACTATTGTTTTTTCATTAGATCACTGATATAAAGTTTTGACACTGAACTGGGTACCCAGTACTATGTTGTCACTGCCCAAAATGTCCATTGTAAATGTGATTTCTTCTACCCCAAACACACTACAGAGATGTAGGAATCAGCAGAAGGACCAGCTGTTCAAGGGTATTGTTTTGTGTCCAAAATTTCACCCAGAAAGGGGTGTCTTGAAGACTGTCCCACCAAAATAATTAGTCATTTGGTTGGAGAATACTTCAAGGAGAAAACTGGAGGATCTGGCAAGCTAGAGATAAGAATAATATACTGCAAATATTTTTTTTCATCCTGTGAAAAATGTAAGATGTTCTAAACTAAATACATCATCTCGAGATCTTTCTCATTGAGCTGTCAAATACAGAAGGCATATTGAACTATGAAATTGGTAACACACAAAAAACCCCCCCAAAAAGAAATCAATATTGGCAGTGCTGACTTTTGCTGCAAAGGTCTGGGTAAGGCAGCAGGGAGCTGCCTTTCAGCAGTGAGCACACTGGACATCTCTCTGATCATACTGGTCCTAGAAATAGTTGGATGAGGTCCCAGAATGGAAACTTGGCATTTGCCTAAAAACCGGAGACAATGGAAGCTGTTCCTTCTGCCACAGATGAGAAATTGGTGTATCTGTTGGCCCCAGTTCATAAGGGTGGACTGGTAGCTGGAAATTGCTGATCAGGAAACAGGCTGTGCTCACCCTGAGGAGCAGGAAGATCTTTAAGGGTTTACGGACAGCAATGAGTGCTCTGTTGTTGTTACTGTCTTTTATCTACAGATATACCCAAGGTGCTGTTTATGCCACCTTTTCCGGGAGAGAGAGACAATCAGAGAGAGCGCGATTTTCTCGTGCAAATCATTGCTATTGACGACAATATGTCCAGGACAAAATAGGGGACATGCTGAGGAAATGCTTCTATGACAAATGGGCTAATGAAAAATGAAACAGGTGCTTGAGTGAGGTGCAGACTGTAGGGCTGGGGCAGAAGTGAGCCACTGATACCCTGGGACAGTGCTTAACAAATTACTCTCTTAGGTCACTTCTAGGCACAGTGTGAGTTACATGGGGTTAACCTATGAAATTACTTCTGGAGATATTTATGCTATATAAATAAGGAGATATTTATGCTATATAAATGATTATGTAGGAAGCCTAAATTTAGACAGGGTACCTTCAACCACTCTGCTACCTAGAGCATTTCTCACTTCCCATTGTGGAGCACATGGCCTTGTCTGAGCTTCATATCAGCATGCAATCTGGGCCGGTGTCACATAGCCCCTGTGCTGCAGCTGCTGTGGGACATAAGCCAGGACCTGTGCCCCAGGATGGAGAGAGGAGTGGTGAGCAACCTGGTTAGCAGCCTGGTAGCTGGTTCACCCCAGTAGCTCACTGAACCACAGGCAAATTTGGAATTTATGCATCTGAGAGGTCTCCATGGGGGAGGGCTAGCCTGGAATGGTGACCTCAGCAAACAGTGCTGGTTTGTCTTGTTTGCCCTCCAGGAAATGTTTATTTACCTAGGTTTTTCCTGAAGAGTTGTGTTGCGTAGGAAGTCCTCATCTGAGGGATGGGGCATTGCAGTTCAGTGGGTATTTTATAACCTACATGTCTGTGATATTATGTGCTCTTAAAAAGGAAGCAGACATCAAAATCACACAACTGTTTTACCACAGTCGTTGAATATAACATCCATGACTGCCATTGCAGAGTTTGAAGTTACTTCTTTACTTAGTTCAAATTGCTTGTATTGTACCTTTCCCACACAGCCAGAGTCACTGCCTTCTGTGGTAGCCAACCAGTTTGTCTCCCTTATTTTTTATGCTGGGGGTACCACAAGAAAGAACAAAACATTCATATATTGGGAAAAATGTGAATGGAGAAATCCAAACCAAATCCACTGGGGGCAGTGGTACCCCTAGAGCTGTGTGACCGCACCTTTCACTGCTGGACCCGTCCCATACAGGTGTCAGATTCACCTGGTGCTCTCAGCTCCTGCCTGTCAGGGGGCTGCTCTTATCTGCTTCAGTGTTCCTTGGTTAGGGCAGTCACTGTTTTGGCAAGTTTTGGCAGATGAAGATCCTTGCCTGAATACTGGCTAATGTAATGACAGATGGTATTTTAGCTAGAGAATGGAGAGCAGCTTGAGAGAAAGGCTAGGCTCTCTGCTGTGGGTTCATCAAGGCATTTTCACAAAGAGCCATTTTCACAAAGATCCACTTCTTCACATGTGGATTCACAATAATGCTGGTTTTGTTTGCTAAAGCCACCTGCTTTATCAAGCCAGATCAAAATTAAAGCACCTAGTAGTACATCTCTTGGTGGCAGGTGATTGCATCTCCAATGGAGGTACCAGGGCTTCTCTGCCTGAGGCAACCAGTTCTGCACAAGCTGTGCTCTTGGCTGGCAAAGGTACAGACAGCGCAGTACTGGCCATGCTGCGTGGACCACCAGTGAGAGGCAGCAGGTTTGGGCAGCAGCTGAGCCCAGCAGTGGGAGAGAGGGCCATGACGGAGGAGCTGCTGCATTTAAATCCCTTGGATACATTTAGCCCACCTGCAACTTTTCAAAGTGATTACTATCTCCACCAATTGGTCCTTATGCACCAGTGACACAAAATTTCTTGTTAAAAAATCACATTGGCATGCTCTTTGAAGCAGACTATAGATGGCTTGTGTCTCTGCCTCCAAATAATTCTTTCTGCTTTCCTAAAACATCTCACAATCATAGTGCAAGCGTGCAAGAGTGTGAGCAGGCTGGGAGCAGCATGCAATGGCAAATGAGGTGTGAAAGACTCCTACCATCAACCACGGGTTTGGGCTGTGAGCTCTTCAGCCGCAGCGAGGGCCTGAAGCGGGTTCGGTCATTGAAGCTCCAGCTCTTCTGGACTTTGGTTGGGCTGCCCTCGGTGGCAATGTCAGCACTTGGTGAGCGGCGATCTCCGACTGAAGATTGCCTGTTTTTTATACTTTGACCTCGTGGGCTGGCCATCCGGACCCGCTCCTTAAAACTTAGCTTTTGACTGTGAGAGAAAGAAGTATATATTATTTCATAGTTCCTTCACTCTGTTTCTTTTTTCCATTGTATGATAATTGAAAATAATTTCTAAAAATTCTCACTGGTATGAATCTGTTTCTTACACACTTTTATATTTCATTTGTGAATGAAACTAATTTGATGTAATTGTTTTTTGATAGTAGCATTATCATTGGCAGTCTATCGGACAGTACAGAATAATCTTGTAAAGGAAACTAAAATTAACAAATACAAATTTCACCCAATTATTATATATTAATCTCTATGTTTTTTGTTTTTTTTTTTTTTCTATTCCTTGAATTTTAAATAGGTTTGTGTCCATCTTATGCACTTATGCTCAGTGCATTTCTGGCCATGTCTTCAGATAAAGAAAACTGAAATGTATTCTATTTTTACCACATATCATGTAGTATTGTCTTGGTTTTTTTTAAGCAGGCAAAAATAGTGTATTTATGCTTGTTCAGGATTTGGCACTTCCAACATTTCATATGCATGATTAGTGTTCACTCATATCCAAAATTCCTTGTTACAGCACTTACTTGGACAAGACAAAAACAAATATCAAAGAAACATCGTGATGACCTATTAATGGAAATGTAATCACATGCTGTGTGCTTCCTAAAATAATTGCTGGAAATTAAGCTGGGAGCTGTCTACATGCAGGTGGTATTGGACAGGTGCTTTAGGACAGGTACAAGAGCCCAGCCAAGCTCATGACTGTGTCTCCTGGATCAATGGTGGCCCTGTGGTCTTACGGTTGGCCAATCGTTAGCTGTTCTTTTCTCCTGCTGTGCTTATAACCCTTGTCTCCAGCCAACTAAATGTGGAATATGTAGATTTTCTATTTCCTAGTGCTTAAATTACCTTTGTTTGTGTTCAAACATAGCTGATGAACTATTTGCCTATGCTTTTTCATTATTTGACATTTTTGCCTTTGTTTGTCCCTTCCTGCAGCAGAAGACACAAAGGGGAAACAGAAAGGGCATCTGATACCAAGGTCTGGAAACCTTGTTTTATCTGCAAGGTTAAGTTCAGTTGGTTGAGCAAGGGAATGGTCATCTTGACCAGTGGTCCTGTTCTTGCAAGGGGAGAGATGATGGTGCCAATGCAGGAGCTGTTCATGGTATGATGTTACTGGGTCTTGCAGTCCTACTGCTCTGCGTAGGCTTTGCAGGGGCTTTTAAAATACTAGAGCAAAGACTGTCTACCTGCAAATTATAGTTGTTCTTGAAGTTGAGACACTTTCTAGTATTCTAAAAGCCTTTGCATTTAACTTCAGCATGCCCATAAGATGTTTTCAATGGAAATGAATTCTGCAGCTAATTTACTAATGCTGACATGGATTATGTGGTTCTTAGATGTTCAACCTACTGCACTGTGAAAATACAGTGTTAATATGTAATTATATGAAATGAAAAGTAGTTATAGGCTTCTGTGGCTGTGAAATGTTGAGATAAACAGATATCTTTGTCCATGCATAGCAGAACTTAGCATTTCAATTTGAATACAAGCGTCACTGAGAGCAGAAAGAATGCAGTTTGTCACAGGCAAAACACATGCTGAAAACTTATTATGAGATAATTTTCAAGAATGATAAAAAACTAGCACGTTAATAACAAGATTATTAGATAAATGTGTTTCTATATGGCATGTTGAATTACTTAAAAGAATACCTTTACTATAATTTCTGAATGTAATCCTCTACTTCCCTGCCCCAAGTAAGCAATTGTTGAAATAAACACATCATGGTGCTGGAAATATTATCTATTTCCATTTCAAATTCCTACCCAGGTCTGCAATACTGTGTGCTGTGGCATATGCAATACAAAAGACCCACAGAACCTACTATTTGAAAGAAAAGTGAGTTCTAAAATTTAATTTTCAATACAAATTACATTTCAAGACTGAATTACATTTCAACTCAGGAATCTTTTGCATTGTACAACAATGAAAATATAAGCTGTAAAATATTTATTAACCACATTATTGAATTGTCATATTATACAACGTTTGCAAGAGAATAAAAATGGACTTCTTATCACAGATATTATTCCTACACGTGTTCCTCTGTGCTTTTTTTTTTTAATGGCTCAAATTGTACTTGTTATTGAAGGATGAAATCAAATTATACTTTTTTTTTGACAAATCTTAGACTTAAAAAGTTTCTGGACAGTTCCTTTCCTGTTTCACTAATAGAAATGAAAATTGATAACATGACCATAAAAACTATCAGTGTAGACCATATGTTTTATAATTCCAGTAACCCCAAAATAAAAATGAAAATTTAAAAACAAAATTTAAAAAAGCACACGTGCTGTTCTGTCAATTAATTTGTACTAATGAAAGCAGTCTGCCTTTAAATGATTGGTAGGCGTGGTTATTTTATTTATAAAAAGCTGAATGGTACACAATGGCTACTTAGCCTGTGTATCTTTCGTTCTCCAAATCAAAGCAATGAGGCAATTGAAAGGAACAGTAGACACTTCATCTGTGCTATAGACATTTTTCAAAACTGCAACACTGAGAATGAAAATATTAATTTAGAACGCAGAGCTCATACATATAAATAAAATGAAATCTGCTTTGTAGCAATGGCAATGTACTGGCATGCCAAGGGTCCATGTGGAGGATGCTGCATCCTGAAGAGAAACACAGCCCCTGAAGGAAGCATGGTTTGGAAACTCTGTTTTGCATCTTGAGATGCATCTCCAAAGAGACTGGTTATAGCAGTTCTTCGCTTCTTGGATCCCTGTTCCTATTTGAAGGCTGGTGGAAAATGTTCCTGAAGTCACTGGGTCTTACTCAGCACAGGCACAAATTGTATGATCAGTAGCAGTGGGGATTCGTGCTTGGGAGAAGAAAGCTACTGTCCTTGGGTCCACACTGCCATGGGGCTCTTCTATATATGATAAATAACAGATCATGAAGGAGTAACTGTATCAGAGCATTTTGGAGGGATCCTGACCAGGCTTTTCCCCAGAGTGAAAGTCCCTTTCCTTATGGGCTCTAGCCTAGTTCCTGGCTCTGGATGCAACAGTGTTAAAGATGGCATTAGAGATATAGAGTGGAGATAATCTTATGCCTTTTCAAGCATCTCTGGACATTCTGTATTTGAATCAGTAGCCACTGAAGTCTTCAGGGCCCTTTATTATGATTTAATCCTGCCCAGTGCAAGCTAAAAATCCTTCACCTCTTTTTTTTCAGGACCTAGCCTATTATATTTTTTGTCTCTCACCTTTTCTCCTCTCTTGTTACATGGTATCCAAAGAAAATCCCTTGAATTAATGTAAAACCTGTTAATGGGCATTGGAAATTCACATATCGCCGTAAGTTGTCCCAAACTTCAAGTTGAATGTTTGTCCAAAAGGCAAAAACCAAGAGAAAGAATCAGGAAAATGAAATTACACAAGTTCCCGAATCAAACATAAATGACAAGGATCTAGAGATCCACAGCTGCCTCCAGTCTTCCCTGGCAATTGTAATCTCTGTGGACCTATCAATCCTCTATTCTTGCAGGTTGCAAGTAGTGGAATGCATTCATATTGATAACACTGGAGCTTTGAAGCATCTTTTAGTGGAGATCAATTACAACTGGCAGCTGTGGAAAAGAAAGCAAACTACTTTTCTCTATTCGTTTGCCTTCTGGAAGGTCAGTTGCAGGGTTTTACTACTCATTTCTCCTGTTGCATGTCCAAGCCATTCACTTCCCAGGGATAGCAAATGACTTTCTAGTTCTTATTTCTTCTTTTTCAAATTCTGCCTTCCCACCTTTGATTTATGAAGGAATAGGTGTTTAGGGACACTAGAGGTCACTGTAGCTTCACTGCAGGGGGAACGAACACCTCTGCTGGTCCAAATGACTAGATTGTGTAAGATTTTCTTTTAACTAACAAATGCCTACAAACCTTTGCTTGCTCTGTCTTCCATGGACCATCTTACTGTACTTTTTTTTGTTAACTGAGCATCTCTTTCTTTCCCAGTCCCACTCTCCCATTTACCTGACCATCTTCCTGCATTTCTGGTCAAGTTTAACTTCTGCTCTCCTTCAGCCTCAGACCTGCAGCACTACCGCTTGCTACTAGACACAATTTACAACTTATTTTTCAGCTTTTCATACCGAGCTGGCTGGTGGAAGCGGAAAGAGGAAGAAATTAAAATGAATGGAGAGCCTGAGGGTGAGGGAGAATGTCTTGGGTCTTGAGACAGAAGCTAAAACTGCCAGAAGTTATCACCTATGTAAAATAACAGCAAGCAGATGTACAGGAAAATTTTCAGCATCCAATAAATACAGGTGTTGATTCTTACCAAACTTTACTGAAATTAGGCTAAGTTGAACAAATGCAAATGCAATAGATAGTACAGTGAGACCTGAAGTTCAAATGTTCAAGACTTCACCACCAGTCTCATGCTAGGACCATGAACTCAAGAAATGTAGTGTTATATTTCATACCTTCAATGAGTAATAACAAGAATTTTGGGTCATAATATCTTATTGTTTAATTGTCAAACAGAAAAAAAAATGTTATGGAGTTTTATGCATTTTTTCCTTTTTCAGAACAGTTTCTGGAAGAAGAGAAATTATTTTTTATCTTCATTTTTTATAATCTGTTTGTACTTCTCTTGTCTTTTACATTATTTTTAAAAAATAAGAAAAAAATGCAATCAGCTTGAGATATAAATCATGGGTTTCTTCCCATAAGATCCATTCATGTAGCAATTACCATTTTTGGTAAGAGACACAATTGCCACAGAATTCAGCTGAAGCAAATGTTTGATTTCACATGCATTCTTCTACCTTCTAGAACAGGATGCAGGCACAACTTCCACAGGCTGTGTCCAAGGGGATTCTTCTCAACAACAATTCCAAATTTTGACTCTTATAATTGCCTAGCATGTTATAGCTTAATATTCCCCACTAATTATTAGATGGAGAACTCAACTGCCATGGTTATAAAAATCCTCTTGGACTTGGGGAAATGTCTTTATCCAAATATTCAACCCCACTTTTAGATCTCTGCAGCATAATGCATTCCAGAAGTTGAAGTCTCAGGCAGAGAAGAGGAACAGGGATTAGTCAAACCACAGCGTGCTGTGCACTGCAATTGTCCCACTGGATGTGTTTCAAAGAACTCGTATCATTGCCATTGTGTTAATGGCATTGCAGGCAACAAGCAACAAGGGATTTACAAGCACTTAAAAATAAATAAATTAAGAAACATTGTTTGGAGAAGTAAGGAATTTAAAATGCTAAGGAGGGGAAATAAATGAATCATGCACCTGATGTTAGTTGGCATTCTCAAACATCATATGAATAGGCAGGATGCTGAATACCTATGTTTCCGAGGCGTGTACATCCTGAAGAGCTTCTGTTTATTACTACAAAGCTTACTAGGAGTGAGGGGAGATAGAGGACCATGTTACAAAGCATTCCAGTGCTAGGTAAGGGGTTAGGCTTTCCACCTCCAGTTAGATTATGCATCACTGGCAGTTTTCTTTTTCATATGGTGCATGCAGAGTGTTTACGTTAAATCTACTTTTAGAAACAGATATGGTATAGGAAGTGGAGAGAATTCCAGAGTATCATTTGTTTCCCACAGAACAGGGATGAATTTTCCACTCAAGCGCCTATATTGTCAAAACTTCTCCTTATTGCACCAGAGAGATCTCTCTGAATAGGGAATTAATATTCAGGCTCATGGGTTACAACACTAAATGGGTGACATTCATCCTTTGTAGACATTCAGTGCATGTCCTACGCACAGCCTAAGGCTGCTCATGTTCTGAGGATGTCAAAAGATTGATCAGTCTTTATCTAGTTTCCTGCACAGGAACAATTTCATCTGTGTTGTATAATCGAACAGAAATAAATATTATTTGTGTTCAGTGTATGGATTTGTAGATATTGAGAATTTAATATATAGGCTTTTGAAATAACTTGCAGAACTCTAGAACTGATTATAGAAATATCTCATTTACAGTGTGGATACACTAGAGAGGTTGTCTACCAATACTTTGATGAATGATTATTTAGAATATTTGTGTGTAATATTTTGGGAAATACAACATACATATTTTTATTAAAATCAATGTGAAGCTACAGCCTCATAAGCTGTCAACTCAAATGCACAGCAACAATTGGTTACCTAATAAAAGACTGTAGGTCTATACATGAAAAAATGCAAGAATTAATTTCTGTAAATATAAGTCAATCTGGTAGGAAAGAAAATAACTTTTATCTAAAGCAATAAAAGTTTTTCTCTACTGTTAATACAGTGAACTACAGAGAAAGAAATTCAATGCACTACTTGTGCAAACACGTCTTCATTTAAAGAGTGAAACAAGCAGCTTACTTAGTTCACACAGTATCCCATGCATTAGCATTGCAGTAAGAAACAAGTTAAATAGTTGAGGACATTTATCTCAAAGTACTTTGCAGCAGTTTGCATTTACATTTTTGCCACAAAAGACCACATACACCACATGTATTTTCAGTGATACAAAAATATAGTAATATGCAAGCATAAGAGTGATAAACAGCCACCGACAAAAAGCAACTTTTTTAAAGGCACAGTCTGTAGGGTTTTTACTGTAGACCAGGATCTCAGGAGTTAACTAGTTCATTTTTACACATACACTAATTTGCAGCAGTGCACATATTAGGAGTTTCTGAAGGGACAAACACCTTGGGAAGTGCCAAATTCTGCACCCGGGATGGGGTAACCGTGGATGTACATATAGACTGGGAATGAGATGCTGGAAAGCAGTGCCACAGAAAGGGACCTGGGGGTCCTGGTCAGTGGCAAGTTGAATATGAGTCAGCAGTGCCCATGGCAGCCAGGAGGGCCAACCATGTCCGGGGGGGCATCAGGCAAAGCATCACCAGCCGGTCATGGGAGGGGATTGTCCCGCTCTGCTCTGCACTGAGGTGGCCTCACCTTGAATATTGTGTGCAGTTTTGGGCACTGCAGTATAAGAGAGAGTGTCCAAAGGAGGGCAAGGAAGATGGTGAAGGGCCTTGAGGGGAAACCATATGAGGAGTGGCTGAGGTCACTTGGTCTGTTCAACCTGGAGGAGACTGAGGGGAGACCTCATTACAGTCTACAACTTCCTCATGAGGGGAAGAGGAGGGGCAGACACTGATCTATTCTCTGGTAAGCAGTGACAGGACCTGAGGGAATGGCCTGAAGTTGTGTCAGGGGAGGTTTGGGTTAGATATTAGAAAAAGATTCTTCACCCAGAGGGTGGTTGGGCACTGGAATAGGCTCCCCAGGAAGTGGTCACAGAACTAGGTTTAACAGAGTTCAAGAAATGTTTGGGTGATATTCTCAGGCACATGGTGTGACTCTTGTGGATGGTCCTGTGCAGGGCCATGAGTTGGACTCAATGATCCTTGTGGGTCCCCTCCAACTTAGCATATTCTGTGCTTCTGTCATCTTCCATTCAGTGAAAATAAAGTGAAAAAATCTGGCTAAATCACTGACTTCTCTTAAAACCACAACAGTTATCACTAATATGGAGCATGAATTATGGTTTTTACAGCTGGATGTTTGGGGTTTTTTTTTGGATCTAGCTTCCAGCTATTGTAGGTAAATTTCTCTCTTTAAGTGCTCATAGGTTACAACTGGGAATAGCCTTGCCACTCTGCAAAAGTCACAGTTTTAGGGGAAGATACTCATTTGCTGTCAACTTCAGTCTCACCTTTCAAAATGCCAGTTTTAAATGTTGCTGTTGAAAGAGTGGGAAATACAGCTAGTGAGTGCAAAAAGTTTGGATCCAGCTGTAAAAATTTGAAGAGATCAATATGTTGCTAGCAAGCCTATGGAGGTTATGTATATGAAAAGCCACAGAACTGACACAGCAAATCTAGTCCCCTTGAGTTACTATGACACTAAAAGCAGATGCATGCACTGTAAGGAAGAGGATGGAGTCAAGTGCCAGAGAAGCAACCTTGAAAAGTGGAATGGGACATGGGTAATTGATATGAGGGCTTTCATCTCTGACTGAATAACCCAGAAGGGTTTGTGAACCACAGTGCAATTCTGGGGTGCATGTATTTTGAGGGTTGATGTATCACCAACACTTTTTTCCTTGGCTTTTCAGTGTTTTCTGCTGGTAGGTACACTCTGCTATTCTCTGAGCATGCTGATACTGCAGTGCCAGCTGCCAAATACCTGCTGATTCCCATCCCTAGCGAGTTTCTGAGATAGAGTAATTTCTCTTCTAGCTATTGAGCCCTTTCCTGTTCCCAAGGGTTTGGGCTACCAGTACAGCAAAGACCAGCATTCTCTCCAGCTGCCTTAGGATGTGCATTTCCAGGGCTTTATTTACCTGGTGAGGATAGCCCTGCCAAGGCTTGCCTTTGCCTGCTGTAGGCAGCTGGTCTTAAGCTGGCATCTAGGCTGGGTGCAAACCCACCTGCCCTCCCAGCCATCAGCAGTGGTACTTGCTTTAGGAGAGATACCAGGCTGCCTCCTCTACCTGAACTACGCCATGTGAGTGCAAACCGTGCAGCTGGGAGCAGGTGAGCCACTGCAGTCCTGCTTTTCCCCCATCTGCTGTGTCCCAAAACACTCGTTAGGAGGGGATGACAGAAAAGTTAGGAAACCTGGAGTCACAGTACTGAGGAAGTGCTGAGGATACTCAAGCAGGGCAGCACAGACCCTTGCCACGGTGACATCCAAACAACCCTGTTGGAGGGTCCTTCCCCTGCAATGGAGGGCTGGTGGGCTTGTTCACAAAGCCAAATGAAACTATATGCCTGCAATTTCCACTGTGATTTCTGGAAACCGCGAGCAACGATTGTATGGCAGAAGCTGGGGCTGTGCCCTTGCCCAGGCACTGGGTCTGGGGAGGCTGCTCCACTGGCTGCTCTGCCACTGTTCGACCTGAGCCCCTCAAAGTTAAAACATGGGATTAGAAATGTAAAAAAATGCCTACTTTTTCCACACAAAAACTGGGACAAAAAAGCAAATTTCAGCAGCATTAGTCTATTAATATGAGTTAAAAAAACTCCAGCTTCTGATTGTTATCTATCAACAGTTACAGTTCACTGAACCTACTGTACAGAACTCAAGACATCTAAAAGCCATTAGGAGACAGCAATTTCACAGATAAAAGAAATAAAGGAACTACAAACCTGCTAGAAGATTCCCCTTGTTCTTTTCTTCAGGTCAGGGAGTGGGAGGGAAAAATGTAATTGTTATGCAGATAGTAATCACATTACTTAGTTACAGATAATGTTAGATATATGATAAATGTAAATGGGTATGTTAATTGGTGTACAACACACACATAACATTGCAACCACAAAAGCATTCAAGCAAGACTCATAAGTACAATGCTTCTGGAAAAGAAACTTTTCAGTTGTTTTAACACATGCATAACATGCTTTGTACATACCACTGCAGACTGAGTTGGCAAAGCACTTAGGCAAAATGCATTGCTGACACATATATAACAGAAAGCTGTATGTTCTTTTTAGATAAAGTTATTTTTGGTAAATAAAAAGGTTTAATTTTGTGATAGTATGGCAATATCCTTATTTAAACCAACAAGTAGATGCAGTTTTGAGGGACAGTCATATTTTAGAATATTTTATATGGGATACAGCTTCATTATTTATGTAATTTTATATCTATCCATTTATATCAATGTTGCCTTCAACCTGTTTGTATATGTAAGAAAATCAATGTTCCACGTAACTTTTAATCTAAAAGCTCCTTTTAGTTTAGAGCATTTTGGAATTACAGTTATGGTAATAGATTACTTACGGCTCTGTTCTTGTCAACTCTTTGAAATTCAAAGATCAGCTTTAGATACCCAGCCAAACTTCCTTTTGGCTGAGCTTTTTGGCACACAATTACCTTTTAACTGTCATGTGGATGTTCATCACCCAGCTTTGAGAGAAACCACTAATTCTCTTGCACTGTCTGCAATAACAACAGTTAGGATGCTTATCAGAGCTTTCCCATAAGGCTCTTAGTGCTCTCCTTTTTGATCTTTATCAAGTATCTTTTACTTCCTGATCTGTGCCCCATATTGAGTCAGTCAACTTGCTGCCTTCTACTAAATCTTTTACTGAATTATTGAAAAGTCTTGGGCAGCCAGTGCTCTGTGAATTCTCACCCAAACTAGGATATAAAATATTTCCTGTCTGCCAAACTCTGGCATCAGGTCTTTTTAGTCATCTTCCACTGGCTGTGTGTATTAATGAATATATATTTTTCCCTAAGGAAATACTGAATATGTCAGACATTATGACAAAAAGAAGCAAATTCCCCAGTGCATTTACCTCCAGAATACCACAAGGTACTCTTCCTTTAGAAAGGTAGATCAGTAGCGATAGCCTTTTACAGAGGCACAGGCGTAAATATACCATTGAATCAAGCATCAAGCTCTGCATCAAAGTTAATATTTTCCTTCTTAAAGATAATTTGGAACAGAGTGAAACATTAACCTTGATGCACAAGTGGGTTTTTGGGAAAATGTTTCTAATGCTTGTGCATTTCTTATATGAATGGCAATGATTTGTATTTGTCCCACTGTCCTAGGCTCCTAGATAATATCGATTTCATTTGTTAGTTGAAATTTTTAATGAGAGGACTTGAGAGGATTTAAGAAAACAAACCAAGACGAAACAGACAAACACTAGTTCTCTATAAGCTTGAACAGACATCAAGAACAGCACCAGCTGCCGTATTTGTACCTACTTTGTAGGGCTGCAGGTATGCAAGGCCTTCAAATGAGGCTTCCAGGTAGCAATGGAAACCGATTTCTCATCAGCAGCATAACTACGCCATACACACTACGTGCAGGATATGTGGTAAAAAAAGAAAAAACAAGGCAAGAGGGAGCAGGGGATGAAACAAAAAATTGAAAAGCAGATTAGTCACCAATACAAGTCATGTCTTTCTCTTATCATTCATAGCACTGATACATGCCTGAGGGGAGGAAGAATACTTTCATAATATCGCCAGGTGGCTGTCAGGTTTGTTCGGCTGGCATCGGTAGAATAAAACCGCCAGGAAGCCTGGTATGGGGAAACAATAGAAAAGCACAAAGGAACCAAGAAAATGAAGTGATAATGCCACCACACTGACTGCATGGCAGTAGTGGAGTGAGGGGATTTTGCTCAGATTGGAATGTGCTCTGTTAGGTTGATTCAGGAAGTACCAGTAAAAACATACCAAAACTTTTGTGAATCACAGTACACTTTACAGGTGAGGTAAGTTACTGGCTCCATGAAAGCACCAGAATATATTCAGCCCATAAAGGTACTTAGAGAAGCATTGCATGGATTTATTTGTGACAAGTCCATAGGGGACACCCACACAAACTTGCAGTCTGAGGTAAAGAAACTGTCGTAATACATTCTGCAAATTATAATGAAAACTGGGCAAAAAGTATTTAGAAGAAAAGAGAAGCATTTTCTGTGGTTTGAAACACTGCTAAATGTTTAAAACCACAAAATTAATAATTTCAAAGGTGAGTAACCAAAGCATAGCATTGAAAATCTATCCACTGCTTAGATTTATATCTGCGTGTAGAGAGTAAGACGGAGCCTTGGTTCCACAAGCTGGAACACTTTCCCTGATGTCAGCATAGCTATATTAACTTGTACTAGCTGAGTATATGCACTTCCTATATATTGTCAACCATTATATGTCATCTAGGTATTCTTATATGGAATATATTGTGTTTTCCAAATACATATCTCCCAGAAACACACCTCGTCTTCATCTACAGATGGAGAACTTGTCACTCACTTTATAACTTGCTTAGTTTGTTGATCATTCTCATTGTCAAAAATGTCTGTATTATTTTTAATTCAAAAGTAATTGATTTTGCCTCATATCCAGAGTTACTTACTATGTTTCTGTCTGCTACATTTAATAGTCCTGTAGGTTCCAGGACTTCCTTTCTGGAATTATGTTAAGATAATTCTCACACTGAATAATTTTTACAAGCTAAAGAATTGAGAAAAGTATGTCCATATGAAACATTTAAATTTTCTACAGCTATCTTTAGGTCAGGTAAAGGCTCTGGCAAACAGTCTATCTGTGGCAACAGAAGAGTTAGCACAAACTAATTCTACAGAGCAACAGATTAGAAAATAGACATTATCCTGATAAGATTTCCACACTGATTTCCATAGGAGTTCATTATCAATATCTAGAACAGACAATTTAAAAAATCCTGGGCACAATGATATGCAGTTCAGACAGATCCTACATTTATGAACATGAAATTTTCTTCAGTCCTTGACTCATTTTCTTCCAATGTTTTATTTGCTTTCTCCAATATTCCAGTCTCACTTACAAACTTCAGATGCTGAATTGATATATAATATATTAATATGAGCATCATCATACACTACAGTGGTAATAACAGCTTTCTTCTTGTTTTGTTTATGGTTCTGTATCTAAGGACTGTAATAAAACCAGGTGGAGGAACATACTGGGAACTTGTATGAAACTCTTGACCGTCATTTCCTGCTCTTTCTCTGTGTTTCTTGTGCTTCATCAAATCCTTTCTGGTGTCACTAATACTGGGATAGAGGTGTCTTGTAATAATCTGAATTCACTGTTTCTAGGTCAAGTTTTGTATTTGTTGTATTAAGACATTTGGCAGAAATTATTTCACCCTAAAAGTCACCCAGATCATCCTCGGTTTTTTCCCATGAGCCTGCCCTCATATTTCCTATTCTGCCAGCCTTGTTCCATCCTCAAATATGTCTAGCAACATTTTCGGATCACTGAATGTGTTAAACATGTAAATGAACATGTAAGTGCTGAAAAGCCTTCATCATGGAATCCCACAACAGATGTTTTCCTTTCACATTGATTTTACCTGTTGGGAGTCACTCTCTGAAATCAATCAGATAGCTACTGGTAATCTATTTAGCATGGTGTCTTACTAGTATAATCTTACTAATATATAAATAATAAGAATAGCTACATTCAAAACTTTAATCTATTATATGTTTCCTTTGGCAACCAAACATGGAACAAGTAGATTAGAATATATGTGTTAGAAAATATGTTAGACAGTCATTCTAAAGTACAATAGACACAAAAGGAGTGTACTTATTTTTATTAATTATTCTAACAAATATTAAATCTTAAATATTTATTATTTAATAATAATTGAACGGTAATAATGGAAACTTTAGGAACTTTAGGAAAGCTTCAAAGACAGTCTTGCATCTGTCCTGTACTTAACATGGAACTCTAGCATATTTGTGCTCAGCTTCTTTTTTTGGACTTACTGTTTCAAAATTAAAAGCCAGCATAAATGGCACACATAGAAAATTTGGCATCCCAAACTAGTGCTCTAGAAGATTATTTCCCCCCTTTTTTTCTCAGTGCATCAAGTAAAGTGTGGTGCAAAATTATTCTTTAGAAGATTTTCTCATTTTTGACTAGGACTGTAAGTTAGGGAAAAAACCTACGCAAAACAGCTGCTTAACACATATCATGCCACTTTTTGTTGATCTGCACCATCATGTCAATACTGGAGCTGAAACAACTTCACAGAATTTCAGATATTTTGGAATTGTTAGTGCCTACATATTTCTATGTTTAGAATTGACTAATAGTGAAAGCAATTCTCTGTGCAGGACACTTTTTGTCTTCACCAAGTATATCACTCACTGGAACACTCTAAACCCTGTAATAAATAAAAAGTAGCTTAATATAGGCAAGAGTGCCACCACTGTCAGTTGGGTTGTCTAAGGATCAATTTTCTTTTCCCAAATAATTTTCTAACTGCAGGCATGCATTTGTCATCCTTGCCTTGGATTCTTCAACATGGATAGAAGAACTCGAAAACTACACTTAAAAATGCCATATACAGTTGGACTTGATGATCTTACAGGTCTTTTCCAACTTAAATGATTCTATGATTCTATACAGAATTATGAAACACATAGCAGTCACTAGATACAGTTATTTCATTAAACTAACCAGTTAAACTTCATTTCCACAAAACTTTCTAAATTTAATAATAAGACTCACTCCAATCTGTACTTTAAATCACATGCTATTATCTTTTTTGTGATTTCATATTTACCTGAATTAGACTTGCAGCTGGATTCCTTCTTTTCTCAAAGTGTTTCTGACGATGCTGTTCCTGCACTTTCAATGCGAATCCCGAGCCAAGGATGCCCTGCAATACAGTATGTAATTTATCAGTGTGTAGGTGGTTTTCCAGCAAATATACATAATTAATTACAACGATTTTATGAAGATGTTTCACCATACGATTGCTTCAGATAACACATCTATGACAGTATATGACAGTATAAGGCACAGCACCAGTGCCCCTTTTGTGGTGCAGCAGGAGATTCTTTACATAACATCTGTGGCACTACCAATGACCAACCACCCCAGCCATTACCTGGGTTTGTGCTGCACTACATTTCTGCAGTGATAAAGGCCATGGAGACAGATATAGATACATATTTATAAAATCAAGCAGGAATATTCAGCGGATGATGAAATGATCAGTTGGCAGATACACCAAATAGATGTGGACCCCAGAGTTCACATCTGCAGTACTCATTATAACCTTTGATTTTAGAAAAGCTAAAAAATGCTTTTCTTAACAGATTAAGACCATTTCTTCTCACTCTTTCCTATCTAAATAGTGCCCATAGTTTATTCTATAGGCTATGAAAAAAAGTTGATTATGAGACCTCTCCCATTTTAGCTTTTTACCTTTGAGTAAGATAAATTTGACTCCTGCTGAACAGATCCAAAGGCTGAGAATGTTTTCCTCCTTGACTTGCAAGGAGTGTAATAATTCTCCTGGGGTATGTCTGCATTATAAGGAAGAATATTTCCACTTGATTCTTAGTCAGAATAATATACTATTAGAAGTGAATAAATTTCACACATACCTCTTGTTTTACAGACAGATTCAGCACAGAAGTGTTTATGAGGAATATTATTATCTGTGCATAGGTATGACATGAAGAACAGAAGTTCTGGCATCTCTAATATGCGTTAATCATCTTTTCACTGTAGTGCTCCTAAGACTAACTTTCTCGTTAGTGGTGACTAGGTGACAAAAGGAATTAATTACAGTAGGTGTCAATAAATGTCAAATATTCACAAACAGGTAATGTATTATAATCATAATGCATTGTAGTATGCCAAAGATACTGAAATGCTGTACCTAGAGTAAGAAATAAATGCAGTGCACCAGCTGCTTTAATGCTGTTGGCAAATGTTGACTTTTAATCTTGGTTTGTCTATGTGGTTGAAAACAAATGAAGTATTATAACAGACATGTTTTATAGTGATCTATAGATAATGTGTCTGAGTATTAAAATATTAAAATGTGTTACACTGGAGACAATACAAAAAATACAAATGTCACTTCTCAATTCACACTTACTGAATAACAATTTGAAAAAGAAAGAGAAGTTATTTCTGAAGTTACACTATATTTTAGTCATTAGATGATTCTCATTTCCATTAAAGTCTCTTGAACATTGATAAAAACAACATAAACAAACTGTAACGTTTATTTACAATCATTCAGAGAAAATGATAGTTGCATTTTTTACATTCAATGATATTAACCTTTAATTGATTTAAAGCCTTCTTCTACTCTGTTGGTAGCCTGAACATGGTAACACAAGACAAGCTATTAGAAATATCTCACTTTTTTTTCAATATAATCTAACTCAGAAAAACATGTAATCTACTTTTTATTTTGTCTTGTTCTGAAAAATTTGAAAGAAAATTATTAATATATAAGGCACAATTCATAACAAAAGAAAGTATTTTCAACCTTACACAATAGTATGAAGCCTAATTTAGGAATATTTCCTAGTTTTATCTGTGACAGAGAAACTAAAAACCCAAAACCAAAGCAACAACACCAAACCTTTTGTTTGGATTTTGGATAGTGATTCACTAGTGCTGTCACAGAGCAAAAAGCCTTAAACAGTTGCTCTTCATGTAGACAGCTTCCTTCAGCTTTTTGTATCATAGCAGTGGCAGGAGCTATGGAAGTTTCTATTATCTTTTTACAGATTTTATAGGCATACTCACAGCAGGTAGTGCAAAGAAAGAAATGCCAAGTAGAGCAAATCCTGCAGAAAGCAGCCTTCCAAGCCAAGTAAGAGGAGTTTTGTCTCCGTAACCAATGGTTGTCAATGTGATCTAAAAAGAAGTTAATGAACATTGTGGTTTACCAGAAGTCACTGACAGATTAGTTGTAGTTTATTTACATTGCATGAAGCAGCATTTCCACCAAATAATTCAAGACATATTAAATATATAGTTGTTTCTATAAAACCCAAACATAAATAAATTAACATTAGGACATTTTGCTATGAAAACTTAAAACTGTGTATGATTGAATAAAACTGAAATAAATAATAAATGTGAGAAAAACACCTAAATAAAAAATAAATAAGTGTAAAAATTTAAAAAACCTCAGAAAGTCTTGATTATAAATTTGAGGGAAAAGATGGGAAGTTATGTAAGCTGGGAAGAAAAAAAGTGTTCTTTTCCACGGATGTAAAGGAGTTTCACCTATTTTCTGCAGGGAAATATAACTATGCATTTGCACAACTACACAAATATAAATTACAAAGAAATCATACTGGAAATATATAGCAGGGAGGAAGTGGATGCTTGCAGATGATATAAAGTCAAAGGAACTGCAAGAAGAAGCTTCATTTTCTACAAGCCCATTAGTACAATTTGAAGTGTATTGTCTCTTGAAACACAAAAAACACTAATCAAAACATGGAAGGAAATTTAAGAAGTTCCTGATCCTTTCCCCTTCCTTCTGACAGGCTTAGATACACCTGTATCATCCTGACATTAATCTCCAAAGGTTAACACTCAGCAACAGATGCAGAGGTACCTCGGGCTGTTGGACCGTATTAGGTCAGACCTACCTGGGCAGAGGTCAAAGAGAAAGGGAGGGCACCTCTAATCCCTTCATATGATGAGTCTAACCAGAGACTCAGCATACAGATGCTTCAAAAGCTGTTCTGTGGAAGCCAGCACCCCTGCCGTGCAGTCCATGGCAGATTTTAGTGCAGGTGAGAGGGCTTGCTGCATGTGATTTGTTGACCACAGGCCACTAGCAATGTGGCAGATGCCACTGACATAATGGTGTGTGGGTGTTGTTTACTGAGAGTATCTTGGAGGCGAAAGATTAGGGCTTTGTGTGTGTGTGGCTGAGGATCTTCCCTGACCCAAGGAATTGTCCTCCAGGCTACTCTTGTCCTGGGAAGCACATCAGTCCCAAACCTGGGGACTCGACTGGTGGGAGAAAGTTGAGTCTCTGTGCTTTCACCTTGGGGAGTTTGGGTTCACATGGCTGCTTGACATGGGCAGCTGGAGGAGGTGTGGGCAGAGCAGAGGATTTCCAAAGGCTGAGTGGGAGGCTGCAGAGCGTGTGCTCAGGCAACGGCACAAGATGTTAAAAGACAAAGATAGACAACAGTAGGCTGAATGCCAAGGACTCCAGGGCCTGTTATTAGGGAGAACATGTGCATGGAGAATTATTTTACATTGTGTACCAAATGTGGGCAAGTTCAGGCTTAGCAAATATTCTGGCAGCAATGAATTCTTCAGGAAATTGCCTTCTAGAGACATTACTTTGCTTCCAGCTTCCTCAAAGTTCATTCCTAGGCAAGATGGCCAAAAAAAATCTATTTAATGCCGAGGTCACCACGGGACAAAAGAAGGAAAGTCTTTTGGAAGTAATTAGATTTCAACTATTTAGGACTCTGTAGATAGTAAACAGTGCTTTTAATTGCTCCCATTGTTGGGAACAAGCTGCGGGTGTAATTTACCCTGAGAAAGCCAGACACTAAGAGTGAGAGAGATGAATTCAGGCTGCTGCAGCTGTAATTTCAAGTGGTTATCAAGTCTCGAGTTTTGTAATGATAGACTGGTCACAGACACACGACTTTGCATAAGTATCATGTCTCAGTCTCCTTCCTTGCTCTTCTTCACTTCCCTGCCCCTTCCTCTGTTCCTAGCTTTTAATGGACTCTTTGGTGAGCCAGTGCCACCCAGGAAGGGGGAGAGAATGATCCACATTTCTGTGTGGTTTGTTTCTGCTGCTTTGGTGTGTTGTGTCAGCTCGTGGATGTGCAAACAAGCTCCAGAGACTGCACAAGGCAGTGAGGGACTGAGATGGAGCAATAAGGAGGAAGGGATATGAGAATGCAGCTCCCTCATTTCTGGCACATGTGAGCTGATGAAGCCATGCTCTTGGCCTGGCAAAGGGGCTTGATTTCGTTTTCTGTTGTTTGCTGAAGATAATCACAGCTCTTCACATCAGAGGACAACTGCAAAACAGTTTCAGGCTATTAAGAGCCTGAGAGCAGTGAAGCACTTGAACAAATTAATCCCTGAATAAAACTTCCTCAAAATTTGTTTCCAGGCCAGTCACTGCAAAGCAGTTTGGAGCTCTGGAATGAGCCCACTTTCTTGGCTTCTGTCCAGTTCCCTATCTCTGCCAGACGCTGGAAAGTACAGAGATGTCTCCTGCCTGAGTTAAAGAGAAGGAAACAGAATCAAGTGTCATCTGCACATTAATGATATTGCCACCAAACTGTATTCCAAAGAAGTAAAAGATAAACTTGAACCTTTGGGACCTGACGTCTGAGAGTGATCCAAAACCAGGAGCAGTTACACAGACTGTGTCTGGAATTTCTCCAAAGAAAATAATAAGATTGTATTAAAGCCTTACCCCCAAATGTTCTAGGTACTAAGTACTTAATGGTATCAGTCTGTGATTAAGCATATCAGTGGCTTCTTGCTCACTTCGAGCTGCTTTATCTCAGGGAGGTCTTTACATGGGTGTATAGGTGTCAGCACTGTTCTGTACTGTCTTATTCAACACTGAACAAATGGGTTCAATCTTCATTTTATACAACTCCCATCATACAAATAAGAAAATGTTTATCTGGACAACTTCAGGGTTAAGTTCAGGAATAATCCTCTGCATCTTTGTAAGTGTTGGGAGTGAATGACTGAACCACTGGCCAGGCCCTGACTGGAATAATCCCGAGAATAAATTAACGGTATAGGGTGTGGAAAACTACTTAATGTGAAACCACGACATGAGAAATTTCCAGACATCACTGATAATACTGTGAGAAGCAGACAGAAGTTACAGCTAGCACTGTGAGGGAAGGCTGGATCCCACAGTGGGTAAGAGAGAAGTAACCACAGTTCAAATGCAGCTGGAGGAAATTTTTGGGGACTTTTCAGGGATTACAATCCTTCAAGGGCAACAGCACAATAGGACTGCATCAGAGATACCATACGCATCCTAGACTGACTAGGGAACAGAACTACAAAATCTGTAATAGCAAACTTGTGAAGGTAGTTAGAGATGGGTTGTTTATTTGAGAGACTTGATCAAGAGAAGCAAAAAAATAATGAAAAAAGAAGATACAGTAAAAGAAATAACAACATGTGTAAATCATGTCTTTTTGGAGATACCTGCTGAGCAGCTCTGTGTCTAATCACCACAGACTAAACTAGGAAAATAAACCAAACCTTTTAGAACATATTTGTTGATTATTTCGCTCAACATGAAAAATAAAATGCTTAGGTGTTTAGCATGATCTGGTCATTGCAACATGCACAAAGGAAAGAGAGATCCCTCCAGCAGGTAACTCAGCCCAAAATGTAGGGTTTGGGCTTGCCTGAAAACAAATGTCTAGTACTACCTGAGATATCCTAGGGCATCTGAAGAGGGACCACCCACAGGAGAGGCAGCAGACTCTCCAACAGATCTTTGACTGTATGCTTATGTTTAAGCACCTGAATCACACTCCTGCAAGGCTAAGTGAGCTAGCTGGGTTCTGTCTTTCATATCAGATGCAAACCACTTCATTTTGGTTACTTCTACAAATGAGGTGTCTGGACAGACTAGCCAAGGCAGACACTGTCTCCTGATCGGGCTTAAAACTCACAATGATGATAGAATTTCTGTTATCTCATTGCTGGAGCTAATAAATATGCTAATATAAGTAAGTGAGGTAATATAATAATGAATGCCATTATATAACTTAGATGACTTCAGTTAGATGAGATAGGACCCAGGAGGCCATCCTCTATGCTAATATTTCTTTCTGATGTCATTTTATGTTCTCCTAGCAGTACTCACCTTTTGAATCTTTATATGACATCACTTAACTGAAAAAAATGTAGTTTGCTCATGTTCTCATTACATTAAATGGGAAAAGTGTCTTCAATATTAACTCAAATGAGTTAGTCATTGTGACAATATTATTCATTGTAATATGCTTTGTTCACCAACAGGTCACTGTGGAGCACCAGAGCCATTCTGTATCCAACTGTAACCACTAAATACCACTAGAAAATAATGGTATATTAAGACAAATTCTGTCAAATGTGTAAGAGAGAGAGGAATCTTAATTTCATTGCATTTTCAGCTAAAACTAATTAGTGTCAAACTAAATGTCACTATAAACACACACAGTTCTATTCAACACCACTGTTTCTCTGAAAACCATACATGGTTTGTTTTGAAACACTTAAGTTTTTTAATTGACCTTTTGTTCCCATATAGTTTGGTTATTTTCTTCTGTTAAATGAATATACCTTGTCTGTCAAAACAAATTTTGAACTTGAGCTCTTCATATAACATTCACTGTTGGGTACTGCTGTGTTAGGCAGCGCTGTGGGGACCCCAACCACAAGAATATTCACACTAGTAATACTAGCATGATGTTTAAATTGCAGGTTGCACAGTACAGCATGCAATTGCAAATACAGTGGAGTATTCATATGTAAATTTGGATGCCATATCCTGCCTTTCATTTCAATGTAAAAATATGGGCTTCAGAAATGGAGTCAGTGAAATGACCATAGCAGGGTATGGCCCTCAAATAATCTGAATTAATGAATGGGTTAATTGCAGCATACCAGGGCTGATCCTGTAAGGAGGGGCATAGTGCCTCTAAAGGTTTGAAATTTCAGGCAACTATTTGCGCCTGACTTCAATGCTGTCTTTACTTTCTTGTACCTCTGCCATGACAGAATTCAGTCCAGGATTTGGTAGATAATCTGTGGTTCAAGTTAGAAAAACTTTTGCAAATAAACAAACCAATGAGACTAATCATTGATTTCCCCTAGAATGCCACAGAATCTGACCTTTTCAAAAATCTTCATGTGGGTTACTCTGGCAGTAAAAACAACCATGACTAAGAAGCACATTATGCATTTCCCACACACTGCTTTACATATTATACAAAAAATACTATTATTAAAATGGCAAAAATAACAGGTAAAGGGGAACATTGATTTCCAGTAACTTCGTGCACTTGCTTAAGTGCATTAAAAATTTAAATGTATCCATGCCATACACTGGGGAAAGAAGAAAAGATATAGAAATGTACAATATATATTGTTTGCAGGGTTTTTATTACAATTTGTTGTTTTTCCTGCTGAAATCTAGACAAGATTCCTATTTTCTCAGTTGCACTACTTATATAACCTATGAGTCATATATTTTCACTTCATAGTGTACAAAATATTTTAAGCACCACTTTATACAATGTTTATTTCCTAGCAGGGTTTTTCCTTAAAAAATAGCAGTCAGCAGGTAGCGCAGAAGCAAATTCTAAAATAAAAATCTTGTTCCTGCTGCTAGAGCTGCTTAGGGAGAAGAATCTGGATCTAACACGAGCCTAAGTCAGATGTCAGAGTGGAAGTCTGACTTTGCTGGGAATTTCTCGTTCCTTTGCATATGTCTTCACCCACCTGCTAGCAGGTGGGTACAGTCCTCTCCTCAGTCCAAACTTCCTGCCTATGCAGAGCTAAGTCACACATGTCCTTGCAGAGAGGCAGAGGGTGTTTTCTGGAGAATCGAGTGTCTGAAAACATCCATTCCCAAAATGGTGCATTGCCACAGGAGGGTCTCTTGCAGGACCACATCCCCACTGCCACCCCTAAAGGGGAAATGGCATTTTCAGACTGCCAGAGCCAGGGTACCCTTCAGTGAGGACACCAGCATGCCAAGCCAGATGCTTCACAACCATGTCAATACAGGAAGGTGAGAAAGCTTTAAGGTAAACCTCAGCTTTTGAAGAAAAGTAAAACAAAATAAATTACAGTGATGCAACTGAAGGCAAAACTTTCTCTCATGGCTTTAGCCAATATGAATTTTACATGTGTTTGGACTACAGGATAAAATGTGTATTTTATCATAGATCTGCCTTGATGCTCTAAAGCAACAAGTTTCAGGAAAAAATACTTTTGTATATTTGCAAATGCACAAGTAAGGTTTGGCTTTTCCAAGCTCCCAATTTTTGCGCTGATAACACAGAAATACAGTCTCTAGGGAAGACGTGCAACAAATGACTAGCCCTTAGATAAACAAATTTCAAAACCACAAACTACCCTTACTAATAGTAAGTGACCTTGATCTTAGATCAAAATGTAGAAAAAACTTCTTAAAATTATTTCCCAATAATTTGGAAAGGGTTTTTTCACAGTCCATGGGTGCATGCTCTGAATCTGCAGATACTACTGAGTCTAGATGAAATCTTGTCATTAGAAGGTCTAAGGGGAGAAAGCTCCATCTGTGCATCCTTATGATGAGAAAAGGCAGCAGAGACTGGTTCAGGTCTTGCACTTATTCCAGGAAAACTGAGTGTTCTAGGTTATTTGGTTATTTAGCTAGGTTCAGCATTAATTAACAGGTATCATTTCACTACCCAGCCACTCTCAGAGCACACTGTTTTTTCTACAGCACCAGAAGGAAAAGAAAAGCCATTTTATACTGGTTGACAATAACTCTGCTGTAGGTTTTCTGGGAGCAGATTTCTTAAGCTGCCTAAGTACCTCTCACAATTACAAGATTCTAGATCACTATAGGGCATTTTTAAGCAAAAAACCCTACACATTATGTTATTTAAAAAATAAGAAAATCAAAACTTCAGACCTAGCCTTTTGTTGTTCATTTAAAGCCTAGTTTAATTAACCATGTAAGCATTCATATAATCCTCCATCTTTCAGAAAAGCAGTCAGACATGTACTTAGATACCAGAGATTTCAACAAAGTAAAAACAAATTATTCAATAGTTAAACATGATGTCAAGTAAATCAGGGGCTTTATACCTTTAAAAAATAACATTGCTAAACCACGATGGGCATATTCTTGCTTTTTGTACTCAAAGTACAGAGGAAGGAGAAGCAAAATCTTTCTAAGGGTACTGATAATACTCTCCCTTTCACCACAAAGCTGGTGTAAGATTTTTTTCCCTCTTTCCTGACACTTGTTCCTCTTCCTGCACTGCAGCTTACAGCCCTCTTGATTTGTATCAAAGCAGGTCTTTGTGGGGCCATGTTACAAACTATATTACTGAAAGGCCGTGGGTTAAAAAGTACAATGCCCCTCAGTTCAGGAAGGATATTGAGGTGCTGGAGCAGGTCCAGAGAAGAGCAACAAGGCTGGTGAAGGGACTGAGCACAAGTCCTATGAGGAGAGGCTGAGGGAGCTGGGGTTGTTTAGCCTGGAGAAGAGGAGGCTCAGGGGAGACCTCCTCACTCTCTGCAACTCCCTGAAAGGAGGTTGTAGCCAGGTGGGGGTTGGTCTCTTCTCCCAGGCAGCTATCAGTAAGACAAGAGGGCACGGGCTTAAGCTCTGCCCAGGGGAGGTTTAGGTTAGATATTAGGAAGAAATTCTTTACAGAGAGGGTAATCAGGCATTGGAATGGGCTGCTCAGGGAAGTGCTGGATTCTCCGTCCCTGGAGGTTTTTAAGATGAGACTGGATGTGGCCCTTAGTGCCATGGTCTAGAAACCACAGTGGTGTTGGATCAAGGGTTGGACTTGATGATCTCGGAGGTCCTTTCAAAGCCAGCTGATTCTATGATTCTCTTGAAGGTTTAGTGGTCTGGTTTGAAGCAGAAACACATAAACAGCTATTCTGCAGGATGGGCTGAAATCTGTCGATGTACAAATGAATAGCTGGAGGAGGGAGCTTCTCAGACAAGTTTTTTTGCCAGTGAAAACAATTCATCAAAGAGCACACTAAGTTCAAGTCCTCTGTAGGTGAAATTCAAAGCACTTTAGCATACTGGTTAAAGAGTTAGTTTTTTTTCTGTACTTACTGTGCCCCACCAGAGAGCATCTGCATATGTGGAGAATTGGGTATTTGCATCTTTTTCCACCAGATAAACCAGGAAAGATGAAAAGATGAGTACTAAAAATCCTATGTACCAGGCTGTGATTAATTCCTAGATAAAAGAAAACAGAGATCAATATCCACTTTAAAGACTGAACAGAATGGCATCTTAAGGAAGACATAATTAAAAGATCTCCCTCTACATTTTTTTTTGCATTTGTGCAGTTAAAAGTCAAGTGGTTCCCTATGGCCGCAAATTTTCTTTGAAAGTGGACCAGATCTACTCCTATGGTTTGATGCTTTAGCAACTTCACCAACAAATAATAAATTACAACTGCATATCAAGGACAACATTTCCAAGATATCCTAAAAACTGTTAGCATTAAACATGGCCTGATGTATTTGTGCTAGTTCACATTAAAGTGGATGTTATTTCAGAAAATTTTGGGTATTCTGCTCAAAACTGAGTTTATGTCCTTGGCCTCTTGTTGAATCACATCAAGTGAAGATGTCAACCAGACAAAATTAGTATCTAGGATTACATACCTTGCTATGTGCATAAACTACTGAACCTAATAATTTCCAAGTGCCTCCTCTTCGGTCCATACGCACCATACGAAGGATCTGTAGGAAACGAAGACTTCTCAGTGCTGATGTTGCAAAAATGTTACCCTGAGTTTTTGCAGAAACAACTGCTATTGAAGCGATGAGAACAATGATGTCTGAAAGAAATACATTACAGAAAACATTAATATCCAAGCATCAATAAATAACACATATATGTGCATGAACTGAATGAAGAAGTTGAATGAAGAGAGAGGCTCTGTACTGGGTCGATATCCAGAGCACTGAGATTCCTGTTTGAGGTAGGGATGTGAGGTCAGGACTGGTGTCAGAACTACCTTGGGAGCCTCCAGGGTAAAAACTAAGGGTAGCAATTTTCAAAACATATGGATAAGAGGAGCAGTGTTGAAGAAACCTCATGTAAGTGCTTTGAAACCTGAGGTATCAAACTGTAGAAATCAATAGATGGATTAGAACTTTTCCCCTTCATATATCTCCCCATTGCAACTTTCCTATAAAAAGACAAAAAAGAAAAGCAAGCTAGGAAAAAAATAGAGTAGCCCCAGAGGCGAGTGTCCAGTGGAATTAGACTTACAAGCACAGTACTAATTTCCTATGAGAACAGACACTATGTGGTTGAGGAACGTGGTTTCTGGACTCAGCTCCCCTGATGTACCATTTCCTGGAAGGGAGGAAATAGAGTGCTGCGTACTCAGAAGCACTCTTTTAGCAAGCAGCCTGGAAAGTTTGTTGAAGTTCAGCAAGTGTTAGAGTTTATTTCTTTGGGTCACAGATTAAAACTGTAAGAGAAACTTTGGTGTGCATGAGCTAATCTACCAGCTGCCCTTGGAACCAGAACATCATTTAAGGGGAGATGAGGACAAGCAGCAGAGTGATGGAACATGGATGCTGTGAGAAGGCATAATATTCTTTTACAATAATTGGGGTGGACACATTGGTGTGCACGGAGTGGGAAAACATAGAACAAGCTGTGTAACTTCCTCACCTCAAGATTAATTTCCTAACCATCTTTAAAAGCTTAAAGAGCCTTTGTAAGAAGTACCTGGTTTTAATCTTAGGGTTTTGTGTTGTATGTTTCTATGCAAGGAAAATCTAAACCCATTTCTGCTAGTGAAGAACTGAAAGCAAGTCCTTGTTGATATGAGTTTTACTTCTTTTGTACTGGGTATAAACACTCATCTTGTCCCAAGCACAGCTTCTATAAGTCAAGAATTAGTAAGTGAAACTCCTCACCTCCACAGGTGAGTGGTGAACGGTATTGACTGTACCTACAGGTAGGAGACTGTTCTCTTAGCCTGCCCTAGTACAGCAGGAAATAGCTTTTGTTCATTTTGCTCAGCCACTGAAGGAAATTGAGGTCTAAATACCTTTCCTTGCCTGCAAACATATTGGGTTTCTCTGAACTCACCTATGGATGGCTTTGTGCTCTCATTACAATGCCAAGGGTACAGACAACCTGTACCTGTGGTTTAAGGATTGTTCTGTTAAATTGTGGAAATCTTTGTCACAAGGGGCTAGAAATTTATATAGGTTTAAAGCCAGTTGGACAATCTCATGGGAGAAGATTTAATCCTGGGCTAATTAATACCAAAAGCCCACTTCTTGTTCAGGACGTCTCCAAGTAGGAGGTTGTTGGAAGCTGAGAGACGCTTGCAGAGAAATATCACTGTATATTTGCCCTGCTTGTGTAATGTTCCCTGACTGTTCACTGTTGCCTGGTGTCACTTGCACATACTGTGTTGGGCTAGACTGACCTTCTGCCTGTCTTAAACTCCGACATTTTAAAATACCTTTGGCTACTACATAGGTGAATCCTAGGTGGCTACTATAAAATTGGCTACCAAAACCACTGGATTTGCTTCTAGATGTAAATCCAACAAGTTCAGAGATCAAGAAGAGCCAGAAATGGATAAAGTATCCTGGAGTGTTTCTGCACAGCACGAGTCTCAAGAGCACAGCAACCAGATGCAGAAGGTCTTGGTGAGAATTCAGAAATAGGAAAACTGACAAGGAAAAGTTAGACATCACAAATTCTAATGGAGATCAGAAAAATTGATGGGATGGGATTGAACTCCACATGAAGACACTTGAATTTAGGTGTCTACATGTGAAGCAGGTGTTTAAACTTCCCATGCAGCACAAGGTAATTGTGTCAATTGAGAGAGGTGCAGCTAATCCTCAGGAGGGCTCCTGCTGTCTATTCAGCTGCCTCATGCTCTAGGCTTGGTACAAAAAAGGCTTGATTCTGCTGCCCAAATTTATTTGTCCAGTGCCATTTGATATGCCTTAAGGTATCTGAGACATCTCCTAGATCTGTCAGCTATGCTCTTGGACCTGGGAAAGCTGTACTCTTCAAGAGAAGTCACTGGAGAGCACGGAATATCATGTAACAGGGGACACCTCTATGTACTCTGCTCAACTAAGCCTTAGATCTCAATTGACTATACTGGAAGTATACTTAGCCCACACATACCCACCTAAAAGCAAACTTCTATATTTAGTTGTGTTTATTTGTATCCAAGGCTCACATAGAGTGTGCTGGAATGTCTTGAACAGTACGAACTGTGCAGAAGAAGCAGTGTCCCTGGTGATGAACATGATGGCAGGGTGATCTTGACTTGTCCCATGCAGGTCCAAGTGGAGCAGCAATGTAACATTCATTTTTATTTAGTGTTGACTGGCTAGCAGCAAATCAGAGACCACTAGTAAAGCAGCATGCATTCCTGCAAATCATTCTTAGAACTTAAAAAAAAAATGTCACCCAAATATTATGAATTATGAATTCGGTACAGAAATTATTAAAGTGCTTACTGGGGGTTTTGGCTACCATGAACTAATTTCAACGGGACATTTTTTTAAAAAAGTCAGTAACGTGCACCTGCCCTTACTCCTACTTATTCTAGGAGCTCTGACAGTTTTCTTTATAAAATAGTTTTATGGAGGTCCCCCACTTCAAAAAATTCAAATTAATTCAGTCTTGCCAGCAGTACACAGTATCTACCCTTCACTGCTGGGAGCCCTCTGCCCCACTAAGGGTCTCGAGTCCCCTCTGGCCATGAGAGACAAAGAAACCAACAGCAGCATAGCTCTCTTTTGCCTTTCAAAAGCATTGGTCCAAAGAATTTGTCTACTTGTGTATACCCTCCTGTCCATAGGGTAGAGATGAGACTCTCCCTAAAGGGAGGAAAGGCTGAGGAAAAAGGGGAGGAGAAAATGCACTGGAATTTATTTGAAAAACAGCTGAAGGGAAGAGAACCTGCCCTGGCTGCTGGAGGTTTTTCATACCTTGCCCTCTCATCATCTTCAACTTTTCACAGTTCCAACCCCCACCAAAACCCATCCCTAACTCCTCAGGCTTTGAACAGGGAAGGAAAGAGGGTGTCTATCACCTAAGTCAGCTTTCCCTGGCTGTGTTTCCCTAGGAAGCAGGGAAGGCAGGTAGGCACATTATTTCAGTGGAGTTTAAGTTGTTAGGAACAGGTGTAAGATAAATCAAAATAAACACTTCTTGGAATGGAATCAAAGTCCAAAGAAAAGTTTGTAACAGCTGAAAGTCACTTCTGAGTATGTAAAACTTTCTTGATTTTCTTATCTAAACATAGCCCTGAAAAAAAGAAAAGTTAAGTACTTTATGCTTTTCTCCCTGCCACATTTTTATATAGTATGCCTCAGGTGGCATTTGCCCTCTTTTAAAGCAAGGAAGTAAAATACTATTCTGAACTTTCTTTTATATTCCATATGAATTTATCTAAAACCTCCATGGTATTTCTGTATTTTAAGAAGGCTTTACCAAAGTTTATTGATATTTTCCTCTTTACCTTTTAGTGGTAAAAGTGGGAAAACAGGTAGAATTAAACAGTAACATTTCAATTAATTTAATGGGGCCTCAATTTTCACTCTGTATCTTTCTGTAAAACACCAGAGAAATTTTGGATGTGAGAATGAGTAACGGGCTATATAATTCCAAACTTCTCAGTGATTACTTATTGTAAGACAGAGGTTTCTGATGCACATTTACCCCTTTTTTCTTTTTCGAAGCTAATATCTTATGTATGATCTTCCAAAGCCTTAAACATCTTCAGCCATGATGATGATTTTATTCACTCTTTTGAAATATCTCTCATATTTTTATCCTTGTAGATAACATCCTCTCTTGTTAAATCCAGTCTGAGATTTCAGATCCTCTCAGTATCTTCTGCAATGTTGACTTTCAAACACTTCATTTCAAATTAAATTTCAAACCATTAATTCTTTGACTTCAGACCTTTCACCTAGTAACACTCCAGAAATCCTGAGATTATGAAAGTTTTGTGAATAGTAACTTAAAAAGGCTTTTTTAGTCAACAACCATGTTAACAACAGGATCCCCTCATGAAATATAAAAAAAAGATGAACCCAGAACTCATGTGTGCAACAGATTACACTTATACATTGTCCAATCTCACTAAAAAAGTACATATAGGTAAAGACAAGTAACTGAACCCCAGTAATGTAACTACCCAAAACTTGAATAATTTATGCAAGATTTGTCAGCCTGAGTTCTCTACTTCACAGAGGAAAGCTAGTGTTGAGCTGCCCTAGTCTGATCAACCTTAATCAGAAATTCTGGATTGTTTGTGTTACCGATGGAGGCGTAGTTGGCATTCTAAGCTATAAGCACTTCTAATGGCAACTCTGTGACTGAGAGATCGATAATCGTAGAAAAGGAAGCATCACAAATCCTCATAAGAGATTGTTTTACTTCTGATTACTTTTCCAATGCAATTTTCCTACTATGAACTTTTGGGATGTTGTGAGATTTTACAGTATTCAAAGGTATCATGCAAATGGACCCAGTTATACAAGTAAACAGAGAACACAAAAGCTTTATTCGGATGTCGTGAAACATCTCAAAGCCTTCATGTGCCATCAGAACAATCTCTAAAATTACAGAAAGCGTGTCAGGATGACTTCTTACAAGGGCATGTAATGACAGAACAAGGGGGAATGGCCTTAAACTAAACAAGTATCAATTTACAGAATCACGGAATATGCTGAGTTGGAAGGGACCCACAAAGACCACCGAGTCCAACTCCTGTGCCTGCACAGGACCATCTCCAAGAGTCACACCATGTGTCTGAGAGTATCACCCAAATAT